AGCGCTCTTACTAATCCAAGTACCGAATCAACACTCAAGAGAATTATTTATCTGCTTCTTTCTCAAGAAGGAATGGATTCCATCTCGTATAATAACATTCCCAGCTACCTATTTCATTATGTCTCCAAAATACAAGGAATAGGATTCAGGGTCTCGGAATCCGTACCGAGTAAATCAAAAGACATAAATCCATAAATAGGAGTTTGTTAAGAACTCATGATTAAGATCATTCTATATATGACCATCGGTAGACTCAATTAGAATTTCTATGCTTAATGGAAATTATTAGAAATTCATATTGTGTTTGTGTCCCTGTTCCACACAATCTTATTATGTGAAATACACTCATTTAATATCTCACCACATTAACAGTGCGGATAGCACCGTTCCATTCTAAATGGGAATGACATGTATTAATAATGTTTTAATTAAAGATTCCGAACTTTAATTAATTTCATTATGAACAATGTTTTTGATTATTATCCTTAAACATTATCATCTCGTATATAACACTTATATACTATGTTTAAGGTTATATAAATAATCACAGAATTCTCATTTGATATTCATAAAATATTCATAAATATATGCACATAAAATGATGAATAAACTCTTTTATTAATTAAATAATAAATATCCTATTACATCTTATGCTTCTAGGACACAATTCTCAACACCTAGAACATATTTAAAATCTAATATTCTCTTATCTAAATCGAAGCCTTTAAAGTAATGTCCAGTTACAGATAAATAATCTTTGTTGGCAGCGGCTGACTAAATGTCTACCGTTAACGCAACGCAACCACTAGTAGAGTGTAAAAAGTTTATTAATGCTTATTTTTCTTGTTTAAATAATTTTAACAAATCTTTCCTAAGAGTAGTTTTTGAAAAAAACTGTGCATTAGGATTGTGTACAACTTTAATATATCGCTGCCAATTAGGATGCTTTACAAAACTGAGTGGTTGATCTAATGCAGCTATCATTCGCGCCATACGATCTACTTGTGGATCGTATTTCTAAGTGATTAGACCACCGGTTGTGCGATCAAAAGATAATTGTGTTTGGCGGAGTTCGGCTTTGCCAGTTTGGCCATGCTTTTGAAGACACATTTCAGAGTGTCTTCTCAAGTGTGTTGTGTCGTGAATAGTGTCACCTTGTACTTTAGAATAATAATATTTACATTAAGCTATGTGTTTAGTGTTACCGTCATTGTCGACCTCCTCAATTGTATCGAAGTGATCCTAAATTGTCGAGGTGCGCTTGCATTTTCTCTTGGAGGTTGCAACACTTGCAGACACAGTAGCACTTGCACTCGCCATTATAAAAAATAAGAGCGATTTGAGAGAGAGAGAGCTTTAGGATATTGTGATAGTTTTTAAAAAAATTGTCAGAGAGATTTGAGATATTGAGAGAGATTGAGAGAAATTGAGAGAGATTGAGAGAGATTGAGAGAATTTGGGTGAGAAAAACATGTGGGGGATAGGGGGTATTTATAGCGAAATTTTTGGGTTAAAAAATTGATATTTTTCCCCCAAATTCGGATCCAACGGTTATTTTTGGTCTCGGCGGGTCAGGTTCGGGCCGAAAATCGGGCAACAGTAAAAAAAAGAGCCATTGAAGTCGGGCTTTTTAGGCGGCGGGTTGGGTCGGGTGCCAACGGTCAAAAAATAGCCGTTGATCGTGCTTCGGGCAATTCGGGCGGGAGGGGAAAAAATAAAAATAAAATTCCGACCGTCGACGGTCAGAGGCTTTCTTCCGGCAGCAGGCTTCGGCAATTCCGACCATTCTCGGGCAGCCCAAGCCTGAACCTGAAAACTTGCTTGGACGGGCGGGCTTATGGGCCTACCCGCTGAGCCCGAAAAATTCGTGCTTCGGGCAGGCCCGCCAGCCTAAAGTTCCAGCACTAGTTTAAAATCGTTTTAATTACAGCCTAAAGTTTAACTTTTTAGTATTTATATTTTAAACATAAATTGATAAATAAATCAATAATCAATGACACTAACATGTTTTAAAAAGTGAATTAAACTTAATTAGATGATTGATTCATTTAAATTAAAAATAGTAAAATAGTAAAATAAAATAATAATTGTACTATTTTTTAATTTAAAATTTTCGTTTCACTCACACCCTCGATGAAAAAACTTTCTAACATTTGTTTTTTCAAGTGACATGATGTCATTCTTATTAAGGAAATTTCTTTCGAAGGACTAGAAAAAATAAACTATCAATAGTTCTATGTTTTTTATTGTTAAATCTATTCAAAAACTATATATTTTGTGTAATCTTTTAATCTAATATGATTTTAACAAGAACCAACGTTTAAAAATTGATACTACCAATATAGAGGCCTATAGAAAAACTCCCTTTTAGTAATATTAGAACTTCGGGGTACTATGGCACTTATTGCGGAACATAAAAATAAAAAAGACAGGATAATAATATGAGAATTTCCCTAAATAAAATGAAGTTAATAAATGTGCCAAGGAAAAAAAAAAAAAAAAAACTGTTTTGATACAAATGTAACCAAATAAGGACTTGGAAGGATGCTTTTAAGGGGTCATACTTGTTTTTGTCACTTTGCAAAAACCAATGTTCATGAATACATACCATTTCTATTTGTATACATTATTTGAATCCAAAGCCTCAACGAACTCATTCTCAAGAAAGTTCTTTGACCAGGGATCAATCTGAAACATAAAGATAGGCATATATATATATATATATATATTAGCAACTGATTTTTTAAGTACATCATATGTTGCATGTAATGAAAAATAAAGTAAATAAACCTGTTTCTGACATTGAAATGTTTCTAGCTCGTTTTGCTTTGCCTGATCATCTTTCTCATCTTCCATCACCTACCATGATATTGGGACAAAAGAAATTTACGCAAAGTAACAAAAGCATTCATTTAATGATTCATCATTAACAGAAGTACTTACCGTTTCTGGTGCAGGATCATGAAGAAGACTTGTTGAACTCTTGGTTTCTTCATTGCTATCAAGGTTCGCTTTTATCTTCTCTCTCAACTCCTCTTCCAGTGCTTGAACCTTTCTCGAGCTTTCCGATTTCTCCCTCTTGAGATGCCTTATTCTCCTCTGAAGTTCGTTATTCGCGGTCCTAATCTGGCCAAGTTCATTCTTCAGTACAACAATCTGCGAGCGCAGCGCTTCTCTTGCCACTAGATCCCATTCAAGCTGCATAATCTTTTCCTCAAGGACGGCTTTGCTGTGTTTGCAGTCGCCTAATTCGGACATGGCCTTTTCCATGTTGGAGATTCTCTCAGCATATGAGACTCTCTTCGTTTTTAGTTCTTCGTAGTCTCCAGATACTATATGGAATGAAGCTTCTAGTCTTTGTTTTTCAGTCTTCTCCACGCAGAGTGCTTTTCTAAGAGCGAAAACTTCGTCCTGGAGAACTTCTGTATTTTGCAGTCGAATCTTGAGGCGAGATACTTCTTCTGCTAACTTCTGTCTCTCATACTCGGAAGCTTTAAGCTTTAACTCAAGCCTTATGAGAATGTTATCAAGTTTCTCTTCATTGGCTTTTGCATCTTCTAGCATCTTTTGTATCTTTTCGTAATCAGCTATCACAATTTCCTGGTTTTGCTTTGAAGCAGCAAGCTCGCGTACGAGCCTTAGCACTTTTGCTTCAGATTCTATTTGGAGGATTTCAAGTTTTATCTCATACATCTTCACTTTACCTTGGACTTCTTCAAGAGCTGCTTCAAGTCGGGTTTTGTAGCAATTGGTTTCAAGCGCATCTTCTGAAGCTTTTCTTTCCTTTTCAAGATCAGTTTCCGAAGCCTTTCTTTGCTGGTTCTCAACTTCAATTGTTGTCCCTAAGTGAATCTGATTTAATAAGCTTTCTTCCAGAGAAAGTGTCTCCATGTGCCTTTTGCTTTAAGGTAATTCCTTCGATGATGGACGAAAACTTTGCTTCCAAGGCTTCAACTTCCTTAAATGCATCAGAAAACACCTTCTGCCATTCCTTTAACTCGGCTTCCAAAACTGTGCAAAGCTCCTTTAAGTCCACATTTTGTTTCCTTAGCTCTCTGTTCGATTTCTCAAGAAAATTGCGCTCCTTGACTAGACTTTCACTCGTGGCTTGTAACTTCTGATTGGTTATTCTTAAAAACTCGCACTCCTCTTGCCCTTCTAGCCACTGCTTTGTCATGTCTTGTAACCTATGTTTCATACCTTGTGCAACTCTATTTCATTTTCCATTCTTTTAATCTTATCTTGGAGACTCAAAGCATGAGCATCCGAATTTCTGAGTGCCAAACAACTCGACTCCCTCTCTTTCGTCATGTATCTCAAGACAGCTTCCAAGCCACTTATTCGTTCGGTTAAGAGTACCTTCTCTTCTTGCAGTTCAGATAAGTGAAATTCCTGATCATATTGCCCACTACATATATCCAATGATTCCTTCACAAGAGTTTTCTTGTCATGAATTTGACTGAGAACTTCGATACCATCTTGTTGCTTATTTAAACATTCCATAGCCATATCCAATTCAACTATCTCCTTGTGAAGACGGGAAGCTTGAGACTCCAACTTCCTTTGGCTATGCCTTGCATCTTCCGCCTTTTGTTCCCAAAGCATGTTGAAAGTCTCAAGCTTGTTGGCCTCTACAACTTTTCCCAACAGTTTCTCCTTCAGATCAGTTGCTTTGCATTCCGAGTAATAATTCTCCAGTCTATTGGCCCTCTCACTAGCCTCTCTCACTCTCGCAAGACCTCTTCTTCGCTACAATGAAACTCCTCTGCACACAAAGTAATTGTTGCTTCAAATAAATTCTTCAACTTTATAAAAGTGTTAAAGACAGCTTCTTGTTCTTTTGACCGTTGGTTCTTCATGTGTGCTATGGAAAGTCGAAGCTGTTCATACAACTTGGAAAATAGTCCATACATCTCAGTAGCAGCATTTGAGAAAGAAGTCTCCAGTCTTCCACAGACAAGTGGAAGATTTTTCTCATCTTCGGTCTCGGTTTCTTGATGGTATTCTAGTTTATGTTGCAGCCCTGCAATCAGTCTCTTGATCTTCTGCTCTGGTGCGAACTTCATGAAGCTCGTTGGCAAGAGAGAATGCTTTGTCCTTGAAAACTTGTACTTCATGCTCCAAATCTGCATTCTTGTTTTCAAGATCCAAATGGAATGAAGAAATTTCTTTTAAGATGATTTCCTTGTTTGCAAGCTCTGCTTCAAGCACACAAACTCGGGATTTCAGTTTGTTTATTTCAGTCTCCGAAGAGCAGGGATCATTGAGCTGGAGTTGAAGTTTCAGATTTTCATTTGTGAGTTGAAGGCGATCTCTCTCCAGATTCCCAAGAGCATCTGACAATTTTGCTTCCAAGTTGGTGATCTCGTCTTCTCTTTCCGCCACTTTAGCTCTCCATTCTGCTTCCAATTCGATCAAGCGCTTGTTACTCAGCCCTCGTTCAACCTCTATCTCGTAGTTTTTCTGTGCCAATTTCTTCTCAAGAATACTTCTAGTATCTGCCAAGTTCTTCAAAGACTCCTGAAACTTTTGTCTCTCTGCACAAAGATTGTCCATCTCTATCTTTTGCTTTTCAATGGTGCTTTCAAGTTCTTGAAGAATAATAACCAATTCAGCATTTGCCTCTAGGCTTTTCTTTAGCTGTAAAGACAAGTTCGCATTCGCTTCTTTCTGAAACTTCATCTCATCTTCCAAGTCCTTCCAAGTTTGATCCATACTATTCGATATTAAATCTTCATTCACTGTTTGTTTCTCTCTCGTTTCTTCCAACAACATTTTCAGTTGTTCAACTTCCTGCTTCATGCCATCGCATTCTTCACACAATTCTGAAAGCTCGTCTTCGAGACTTGCCCTGTGTATTTTCTCATCAGATAGTTCCTTTTGCAGCCTTTCCACATTCATCATCAGCCGCCGAGAGTTTTGTTCCCACATCCCGGCCTCTGCCTTGAGTAGCTGAATTGCAGCCTCTGCAGCATCAAGGAGGTCTTTTGATGGAGCGGCATTCTGACATAGAAATGTGGCCGTAGGGGATGCTTGCTCAGAATCTTCTCTTTGATTTTGAGGACAGGTTCCTGATCCCAAGACTTTGGAAGAAACTGCTGAATGATTTGATCTGCGGGTAGACTCATTGACAGGATAAGAGCCACTGGAGCTATTTTGAGAGCCGATTGAATCTTGCCTTCTCATAAGATTGATTACGCTGATTGTTGATCATCTTCTCGGGGAAAACTTTTCGTTGGAGTCGAAGCTACTATGACGTGATGAACGTGACCGTAAGAATCTTGTTTCCTGTAAAAGCCAACATCTTTTAGCTAGCCACTTGAGGTAAAAACTAAAGGCTTCTTTTTGAAAATATTTCAAGTGGCAACATATAGGTATATAGCAAGAGAGATGAGATAGAAGAATAAAACCGAGATAGAGAAATAGAGCCATCAGAGATTTAGAGAGACCAAAGGATAGAAAAGATAGTGTTCGAGAGGATGAACAAGAACTCAAAAGGAGGAAAACTAGAAATCTTAAATGTTCAATCATTGATTCTGAATTGAAATTATAAACTACCATATTTTTATAGGCAAACCAAATAACAATCAAGGAAAATAAACCAAGATAAAAATAATGAATGTACAAGTATTAACTGATAACAGAAAATTACTGTAATACCGTCAACTTTAAATGCAGCTAAATAAATATTCTAATCTCCATCAAAATCTCATTATGAAAGAGGTAAGCATACCACATAATGTTCTCCATGATGGTGTGTATTGTCCCAATGGTTACCAGATGAAGATCTACTCCTGTTTATTAGTGTGATATCAGATATTTCTGACTTGTGATCTATGTCATCATACTCGTAACTCAACATTCATCTCCTCCATATCTGAACTCGAGTCTCCGCATACCTCGTTCCTGGTCCAAAGAGATGAAAACCTATTAGATTTCTAAATCTAATAGGAGTTCTAGAAACAAATATAAATAATGCCATTGAACTGCAAACCTCAGCTTTGTTCTTAGAGTTAAGCACTGAATTGTAACCTGCAAACCAGAAAAGTTACTTAAGTGCTTAAACTAGAGATGAATTAAATATCTATTATTACAAATACTAGAGGATTAGCTACCGAGTGATATGAAATCTAATCTGTTGTTTTCAAACACAGTTGACTTAAGGATCATAAATGGTTCCTGAATTTTGCTATCAATCCCATTTTAGTTCTTGATTTTAGAAACGTCTCAAACTTAATCCCGGATCTAACAGTTTATTTCAATTTTAGTCATTTTATCGGTTGGGTGTTAAAAACAAAACAAAACATGGATAATATTCAATTAGCAGAGTGTTATTTTACATTTATGCATCAGAATCACGTGCATGGAATGCTATTAGTAAAATACAATTTTCTTTCAGCATCACGTGTATATTCTAATTTTACACCCAACTGCTGAAAAAAAAAAAACTAGAACTAAGATAAATGGATAGATGGAGGATTAAGCTTGAGACATTTTAAAAGTCAGGTATTAAAGTGAGATTGATAGCAAAGTTCACGGACCATTGTGAGATTAACCTCTAATTTAAATGACAGATAATCATGATTATCACTTTGGAGGCCAAAATTTAGTACTAAAGATGCTAAACCTGTAGAACTGTTCCATAGTCACATTTTTTCAGTTCCAATTGAACGGGTTGACAAGTTTTCGAATCGGTGTAGCTTGCCAAATTCACTGTGGCCTCTCCAAGAGTTCCAAACCTGAGTGAGCGCTGCAAGAACAATACCATTTTGAGAGAGCAGATTGGTTAAGTTTGCATCAACAAAAGCAATTAAGCCTTCATGACTAAGTCAGCTAGAGATCAGACCATGGCAACAACAAGCTTAAACAGGCATTCTTCGGTATTTCTCGCGACATTCACATTGTCCTGTGACATCCACATAGACTCTAACAATGTCTCTTCCCACCTACAACTTCCATTTTGTACTATCGCTTCCCCAGCTTGGCTATAGATTTTCCTGTTTCCACAGAGACAATAGATACAATGGTCCTGTTTGGAATTGATTCCGTTTTTGTTTTTCACGTTTTTTGAGAAAGAAAAAATGAAAATGTTTCAAAAACGGCGTTTGGCGCAATAAAAATAAAAAATGAAAATGAAAACGATTTTTTAGTTTAGTGTAAAATGAGAGAGAAATGAAAAATAAATTTTAGTCGTTTTTCATTTTCGCATCTCTCGAGCAGAGAGAGAGAAAGATATACATTATTAGGTTTTTTTACACTGAAAATAATCTCTTAATAAAACTACTAAACGCATTTTCAAAAATGATTTCTGTCTGAGATTAAAAACGTTTTCATTTTCATTTTCATATAGAAAATAAAATTATTTTAGAACGAGTTCCAAACGTGCCTAAAAAGCTTGTCCCATCCTTTTGGCACCTGCAATTGCAAAATTACAGTGAGTAATATTATACAGAAAATAATGCAGAATAAGGGGTAATGTGAGGACCTACCTTACGGGCCGTCACTCTTAACGTGAAAAGTTTGTAAATGGTAAACATGATTCATTTAATTACTTAACAAATAATGTCTAAATGTTTTACATAATTTAGTATTTCTTTGTCTAAGGCGGCGAACCTAACTCAGCTAAAACAACTTAAAAAAGCTACTATAGAATACAGAATATCAAAAGGCATAGATCAATTATCCTACTTATTCTTATTATTTAACTTCTTTTATTGCATCAAAATGATAAAAATTGAAAGATGAGTTTCAATTTTGTTTCACTAAAAAAAAAAGGAGGCGCTCTATAATTGTTCAATCACTTAACTGGTCTATAAGACTTAACTACAAAATAAAATCTTAAACTGCAATCACGATATGAAAATAAAATAATCTATAAAGAATAAAAGAAAAAATGAAAGGAAATATAAAAGAAAATGTGAAATCGAGAATAGACCTGAAAAGCCTGAAAGTTTGGGAACTTGAACTTGAACTCTACTCTGTCCTGAGGTTTCTCAGATTTGTGCTTGAGACAAGCCGAGAAACTGCGAATTTGTCCTGAGAACTTGAACATTTTCTTCTTTCCCTTTATATCATTCGCTTCCTTTTCAATTCTTCATCACTACATAACACAAATTCAAATTAGGATAAGCTAATAAGTTTAATGAAATAAAGAGCAACAAAGGTTACATGCAAGGATTATCTATTAAATTCTACAAATTTAGATAGATTATTTGGCACAAAAAGTGGCACTCACATGTAATTTACGTGAGAAGATATTACATATATACGTATATACACACACACATGTGTGCTTGAAGAACAAAGGGGAAAAAGAAAGATAAGACGACTAATCCTATTTATGTATGTGATCAACAAGAAATTGAAGCCATATATATGTTACACAAAGTGAATGCGCAGTGTGTTAAAATATAAATTTTAAGACTGATCCATCCCATAACAGCTTAAACTTCTTCTTAAGAGAATTAATAAACTAACACGATATAGTTCAAACTCCTGTATTGACATCCTTTCTAAATATTTGTAACCACAGGTCCACATTTTGGATCGTAATATGTTTCGGGCTATAAATTAAGAAACAGAAAATTTAGCTATACTTGTTGATATATATATATATATATATATATATATGCAAGTTAAAAAAATATATGGAAAATGGAAAAACAAAAGAAAAACTGAGAAGAGAGCCCAATGCTAGCTATTAATGCTATTCTGTACGTACCTTTCCATAAAATTTTTCACTTCATCCTCAAGTTAACCATTATGAATATTATCAACTCATATGCTAGCTAACTGGTTTTAGTAGAAAGGATTTCCAAGAAGCATGTCACACGCGAGTTATATAACTCTCATATATATATATATATATATATAAATTATAGGCTTTGTGTATGCGCGCGTGTGTGAAAGAGAGAATTTACTTATTTTATGGAAATGTATTCGTTAAATAAGAAAGCATTTTTTTTTTTGGGTGAAATAGTCATTGTTAAATAAGAAAGCAGTTAGATACATAGACCAATTTTTAAGGCATTATCCCTCTAGCCGATTTACTTTTATTTTTCCTTTCTTTATTTCATTCATTCTTTTTCTTTTTTTTTTTTGAAAATTGGTTATTGTTATTTTGTCATAATTGGTCAATTTATATTTTTCTGAAAGTGAATCTTGCCTTTCATTTATAATCTTGTTGTTATTTATTTCAGTGGAAAGGGTAAGAGTGCTGTTCAGGATATGAAAGGCCACATATATATTTTTATATTTATATTGGTAATGAATATTATTGCTAACAAAAAGTCAGAGAGAGAGAGAGGTTAATAATAATAAAAGAAAAAATAAATGAATTTCACTACAAAATATTAGAGAAAGATCCACAAATCATGAGGCTAACACACCCATATAACGAGGAAAATTATCACCAAATATTGTATTTAATTGACACAATAAATTAGAAAATATAAGTTAGAAGTCATTTTGTTCTTTCAAGAACCATGAAATTAAGTTGCCACTTTGTCTTATTATTTGTGTCTATATGGATTAAAGAAATTAAATTTTCAATGGTTACCTGGCCTTCTTTAGCAATGAAGGGTCACTCGATGTGTATTTGAAATTAATTAAGAGTTAGCTAATTCTATGCATCTCATATATATATATATATATATATATATATATATATGCGCGCAAAATAATAGCTGAGAATATTCTTGCACACAGCTAGTATTTTGCATATATATGAGAAAGAATATTAGAAAGACAAAATTGAGGATAGAGAATCTAACTATTTTTGTATGTAAGACAAGAGGGAAAAAAAAAAAAAAAACAAAACAAAAAGGATGATTTTGTGTGGGTGACAGCCAAAAAAAAAAAAAAAAAAGAGGAGAGAGAGCAAGAGGATATTTCCTGATTGGTTGAGCAGTTGTTGTGGCTAAAGTTAGTTTAGTTGGTGTTTGGTAAAATGATCTTTTAGGAGAATGAAGGAAATAACAATTGTGGAAGGGCTTCATAGAATGTGAATTAGGACGGTTTAAGAGAGTTTTTGTTTTTGTTTTTAGTCAATAAAAGAATATAAGTAAAAGCTGTAAGTAAATATTTGGAATCGTATTTTTAAAAGAGCTTAAATAGGTTAAAATAATTTTAAAAAATACTAAGATAAAGTTTATAATATCTTGTTGAAATTATTTTGATACAAGCTT